TTTTTAGTATTAAACATTACGACAGTAAAAATTGATTTGATATTTAATGTAAGCTTACATGTACATATTTGTGTTTGCATCGTACAAAATCAAAACTTTTACTTCTGATCAAACCAAATTAAGAAATAGTGATAAAATTGGAGCTGGAGATTTTTTTTCTTTTTTGTCATCGTTTTTCAGATGTCATAATAGTGGCAGGCAGATTATCATGAAAGTGGCAGGCAAATATATAGTCAGCGTAATTTGTCACCCGAGTCAGTTTCTTTGGGTTTCAGATTTCAAGATAGGGCATTTATTTGAATGAAAACACCAAGGAGGCTCTTACATTGGAGTTTCATTTTGCTTCGTTATTTCCTTCTTAGTTTTTAATGGAAAAAAAAAAAAGAGTATCTAGGTCATGGTTCTCATTATTTTCTTTAAATTTCAAAAAAGGACTTGGGGGCAAATGGGAATGTCATTTTTGAGATGTTATTATGAGACATATTGGCTTTCTTTATGTAGACAAAAATTATTATGATTATTATTATTATGAAACCCTTTAATTGATGTTGTTGTCCGTTTCCATATTTATGACTGTAATTTGATAGGATGTGCAGTTGAGTCAAGATTTTGTGAATTTGTTCCGAGTCAAGCAAATGGGTTTTTTTTTTTGTGGTTATTTTTTTTTGTCTTTCAGTAACTCTCAGATTGCTCAGTGTGTTAAACTTTCAGAGAAAATACATGTTTCTTTTTAGTAGGCCTATGTATTTATATTGGTCACATCCTTGGTAAAGCAGAGGGAGAAAGAAGAAAAAAAAAAAGAAAAAAAGTCGCGTTCCTGTGTTTAACGTACAGTCGAAATCAGCCTTGAGTACCTGTGTTTGTGTGTTAGTGTTCACTGTTGTTGAAGTTCTTTGAAATGACCAATCCTGGTCTGTTTAAAGTTTCACACTTCTCTTTTTGGTTAGACAGAAATTGTGAGAGTTTGCTCTTGTCTGTTTCCTTTTTAGGCAGGTGACTAGTGCGTGTGTGCGTTGTACTCTTTCTGCTTTTATTCATTGTCGATGTCACTATTAGGCTCATCTCAATCGCATGCAGATAATATTAGTTCTATTCATGTGGGGGAAGTTTTTTAAATCGAATAATCCCATCCCCCCCC